TTGCTCCCTGTTGTTCTGATCAGTAGATCTAGATATTTCTGTTCTTTTCGATTGAGGTCGGACGCTACCGGTAGGTGTGCTTTGAGCCCCGGACTTAACAGGGTGTTTCTGAGCTCACTTTTTCGCGAAGTTTTCAGTTAGTTAGACTCAGTTTAGGATTCAAATTTCAAAATCATTCAATGGCATAGGCCAGGATCAGAACCAGTGTATTTTTTTTGCCGTGTGCTTTCTAATATTTCTATAATTTTTGCTTGGACAGTATATTTCAAGGTTTGAACCTGTGACCTGCGACCTGCGGGAATGTTTTTCTTTCGGCCGCTAGGCCCCGTTCGGGGCTTTTTCATGAGATACCCCGCCTGGTCCATTTGAATTAATACTTTTGGTACAGGACCGGTTCCAAGAAGGTATACCCCCTGGAGTTTGGTACCGTTGACGTCTTGGTAAAAAAAAAACAAAAAAAAAGTTAGTGTACAACTTTTGGTAACCTCTTTCAGGACTGACGCTTCACGCCACCTTGGGCCGTCCGGACGACTCGGGTGTGAGCAGGAGGCGAAAGCAGCTTTGGGGAAGCGTGCGTAGGTGAGAGGTGGAGTAGGTGTTTAAACCCCCCTCTGAGGAGGACGACATGGCTGTCGTCCAACCGCGGCATCGGGGACACCTTCTGTTACATACTGCATTTCGCACAGGTCCCTTTCGGGCCCGACCACTAGGCCTAGGGGGTACCACAGGCCTGGACACGATAGTCCAGGCAAGTCCGGTCCATGGGCCGGACCTTTATGCGGAAGGCCGCCCGGTAGGCCCCGTCACACAGGCCCAGGTGGACACGGTCCAAACAATATTACCGTTTGGACCGGCGGCGCCCTTGAGGCAGCCGCCCGCAAGGCCGATCGGAAACCGCAGATCGGCAACCGGATCTGACGGTTCAGATCACGGCGCTGTTTCGCAGCAGGAAGGCCGAACAGTCCACCACGGTACTTAGTACCCAGCAGCGGTCTGTTCAGGAGGAACTTTCGGAGGAACGTAGCAGTGAGGTAGCGCTGCGCTAAGTTTAGTAGCGCAAACGCTCAGCGCATCAGCACGAGGCAGCGCAGATTAGCGCAGTGGAGGTTAGAGGAAGAGCGACCGACTTACCTGCACCGGTCTTTGTCGCTGGCCTTCAGCAGCGCCAAGGTCACACCTTGCCATCACAGGTAAGACCTGGACAGCCAGGCACGGGCAGGAGGACTCACCTCCGCCCCTCTCTCTCTTCTCTCTGCCTCCACTTCTCCTCTGCCCCTCTCTGATCTTCTTCTTCTTCTTCTTCTTCTTCTTCTTCTTCTTCTTCTTCTTCTTCTTCTTCAGGCTTCTTCTTCTTCTTCTTCTTCAGACTGGAGACTATTGATACGAGTTGGACAGAGATCAGTGATTGGACTTCGATGGTAGGAGGACGTGACACTCACCGGATTCGAGACATTGGAGATATTTGGGATTGATACCTGGTGGCATCACAGATCGGACATCGGTTATACTAGGATTCTGTATCTCCGACATTGGTGACTTATGTCAACCACATTCTGATTTTCTTCGGTGACATTTTGGGCTACTATATCGGTGACATTCTGGATTCTATTTCGGTGACATCTGGCGCTGTCCCTATCTCCCACCTCCATCGTCTCTCCTCCCACCATTCATCTGTGTAT